GTAAGTCAACTTCACTGCAGTACTGGATATTCAACTTTACTACTTAGATTGATTAGTGAATAAGGTATCTCAAATCTCCTTTCCCAGTAGTCCTCACACAGAGATTAAATAATCTCTGCAAATGACTACACTGTTTGCTGAACTGCCTCCATATAAGTGGTTGCACAATAACTCACACACACACACACACACACACACACACACACACACACACACACACACACACACAACACACACACACACACACACACGTAAGTACTTGTCTATATCTCGATCTTGGTCTTTATCTCTATTATCTGTCTATATCTCTGTCTGTATCTCTATCTCGTCAACACAACCCCAAGTTATCGGACTAACAGCTCCCACAGTACACACCTTTCAAACATCTAATTTGTTTGTACAACTCCATTTGTGAACATGAATGAGGGGGCAGTAATGTAATATTTACTAGAGTGACAAAGGAAGTTTACCAGCAACACCACATGCTGTAATATAGAAGTCATTATTTCCATGGGGAAGTGAGTAAGAATTTTGTTCATAAACACTGCATGTCCTAAAAGGCGATTTAAAATGCTGGGAGTAAAGAGCTAGTAGCACCTTTTGTATAAATCACTGGAAAGACAACAAAATTCTAAAGGTGGGTTGTTTAAGTGTACATGGGTGTGGTACAGATGTGAAGAAAGAATTGATTGTGAATTTTATTACTGAAAAGAAGTAAAATGAAGCTAGAGAGAATAGGAGAATTTCAATGAGTAGTATAAATGTGATTGTCAGGTGTATCTGAAGAAATCAGGGTAAAGGAAGGAGTAATAGTAATATTTAATAAGTTATGGAAAGAAAAGTGAGAATATAAGTGTATAAATTCAAGAAATGTGTTGATTAAAATAAGGGTGGGATCAGAGAAATGGGTGAGTATTTATGCACCTGGGGAAGAGAGGATTGTAGAGGAAAGAGTAAGATTTTGGTGAATGTTGAACGAATGCTTAAGACATTTTAAACCGAATGGGGAAAATAATTATTGTGAGGGATCTGAATGCCAAAGTGGGAGAAATTGTTAGAGATGATGCTGCTGTCAGTACAGATGAACGTCAGTAAAGATGAGGATTTCACTTCGCTAGTTGTACGTCTGGCAGTAGCTGGTGTTTGAATGCCGGTCAGCCATGTTTAAATGCTCAATTCTTTCCCTCGTTTGGCACTGAGGGGAAAAAAGTCCTACGCACCTGTTATTTCCTTGGAGTTTTGTTGATCAGGTTTTCTGCCATGTTGTCTTCCCGTTGAGCACTGGTGCAGTTGATATGGAGGTCAGTTATTTCATTGTAGTCGAAAGTGTCTTGTGTCTTTCACGTCTGGCAGAGTTGGTACTTGACTGCCCAGTCCCTCTTTTGTCATTTTTTAGTCCATTTTTTTTTGTGTACCGTATTTTTTCATGTCATATGGGTTTCCTTGTGGTTGCACATATTTGCAATTTGGCATCCTGGAGTTCGGATGGGCCCGGGGGCGGAAAGATATAGGAGCGCATTGTTGCTGCTTGTTGCGGCTGCAGCTAGAAAAAAGGGGTGTATTATATGAGTAGTATTGCCAGGCTACCATATGAGGCCAACCCCCACAAAAAAATATTCCGACATTTAAGCGTCCCAAGCGAAAAAATGCATATCCAGTTCATCATACTTAAATAAAATATTTTGTAGCTTAATGTTGGGTCAGGGGTGAGAAAATGAGAGGAGAAAAGGGGGGGGGGGAAGGGGGGGAGAGGGGGGGGGGAGAAGGGGGGGGGAGAGGGAGAGAGGGGGGGAGGGGAGGAGGGGGGGAGGGAGAGAGGGGGGGAGGGGAAAGGAGAGGGGGGGGGAGAGGGAGAGAAGGGGGGGGGAGGGGGAGAGAGAGGGGGGGGGAGGGGGAAGGAGGGGGGGAGAGGGAGAGAGAGGGGGATAGATCTGTCATTTCAGCAAGCCTTCAACATAGGGGAGATGTGGGTGGCCTTCTTTTATGACAAGCCAATATTGTAAAATTTACCAACTTGGACCCCATTTCGAGGACAGCGTGAAACAAGTTTTTTATGCCACAAGAGGGGCGAAAGCGAACTTCACTCTGGCTGTCCCCTTCTCCAAACAACACTCCATCTGAGTTATATACCCAGGGGTGACTCGAGTAGGAACACATTTGTACGTATAATGATTCAACGAGATAGCAGTTGATCAATGAAAATGCTGGCCCAAATGGTCCAATTTTATCCTCTTCCTTACTTGTATGTTCAAACAAAAAAATGCTTTCAAAAGACTGTGCGGTAAAGCTCTTAGCTTTTCCAATAAAATTTGGAAACCTTTAAACTGTAAATAGCTTGTCAATTTAAAAATAGGGATCCCTTTAAACCCTTTCAAACCGGTAAAAAAAAAAAAAAAAAAAAAAAAAAAAAAAAAAAAAAAAAAAAAAAAAAAAAAAAAAAAAAAAAGGGAGGGGGGGGGAAGAGAGGGAGGGAGGGGGGGAGGAAAGAGGGAGGGAGGAAAGAGGGGGGAGGAGGGGGGAAGAGGGGAGGGAGGGAGGAGGAAAAGAAGGGGGGGGAGGGAGGGAGGGGAAAAGAGGGAGGGAGGGAGGGGGGAAAAGAGGGAGGGAGGGGAGGGGGGAAGAGAGGGAGGGGGGGAGGGGGGAAGAGAGGAGGGAGGGAGGGAGGAAGAGAGGGAGGGAGGGAGGGAGGGAAGAAGGGAGGGGGGGAGGGGGAAGAGAGGGGGGAGGGGGGGGGGAAAGAGAGGGAGGGGGGAGGGAAGGGAAAAGAGGGGGGGAGGGAGGGGGGAAGAGGGGAGGGAGGGAGGGAGGAAAAGAGGGGGGGAGGGAGGAGGAAAAAGGGGGAGGGAGGGAGGGAGGGAAAAGAGGGGGGAGGGGGGGGAGGGAAAGAGGGAGGGAGGGAGGGAGGGAAAAGAGGGAAAAAAGGGAGGGGGGGAAAAAGGGGAGGGAAAAAGAGGGAAAGGGGGGAGGGAGGAAAGAGGGGGGAAGAGAGGGAAAGAGGAGGGAGGGAAAGGGGGAGGAAGAGAGGGAAAGAGGGGGGGGGGAAAGAGGGGGAAGAGGGAAAAGAGGGGGGGAGGGAAAGGGGGAGGGGGGGGGAAAGGGGGGGAGGGAGGGGGGGGGGGGGGGGGGCGGGGGGTGGGGGGGGGGGGGGGGGGGGGAAAAAAAAAAAAAAAAAAAAGGGGGGAAGGGGGAAAAAAGGGGGAAAAAAGGGGGGTTTTTTAAAAGGATGCAACCCAAAAAGCAAAAGCGGTCATACTGGGGGAAAAAGGGCAAGGGGGTGGTGTTGCTGTGTGGCTTTTTAAAAAGTGTTCTCCCGCAAATGATGTTGCCCCCCCTACCATTTAAAAAGTGTTCTTAAAGCCTGTATAAACACTAGTACCTCGACTAGCTTGAATGTACGACCTCAGTGGAACAGCAGACCCTATCAACTTCCTAAGGAAATATTGACTCCCTTCGCTAAACACAACTGTCAACATTTTTAATTGTGGTCCCCAAACAGCACCTTATAAGGGGGACTTTGTTGACCTTCTTGCAGTGTTTGAAAGAAACTTTGTGATTTCCCTATCAATCTCTGGCTCTCCCTTGCCCCTAGTGATGTCGGGCAGAAGGCCATGTACTTGTCCCCCCCTCGGCACGTTGGATCGTCTGCCACAAGGTGTTTTCGACACTTAAGATCCCCAAAAGAACGAGGTGAGGGGTCCACACGCAAAACCTGGCTATGGGGAAAAAATAAATTTGGCCCCCTTTTCCTGGCCGCCCCCCACCGCTGGAAGCTCTTCTCCAAAGGGGATGTTGAAAACCAAGTGAAACCTTCACGGACACACCTTAATTAAAACAAGAACCATTCCTCACCCGGCAATATTGCAAACCCACAGATCACCTTGGTTTGGCTTGTTGTGAGAGGCTGCACTGCTAAGTACAAAGCATGGCGAAGGGTATAAAGACACCTACCCCCTATCAGAACTTTCACATCAAGCCCGTAGGTTGGGGATGTTCAAAAGGGGCCATTGCAAAAGGGGGGGTGGCCTAAAAGAAATTAGCACGGTAGGGTAGGCTCCAAAAACCCGGGGGGGGCCCGGTCAAGGAAGACAAGGTTATCTGCCGATAACTTTCCAACTCTAAATCACAGGATAGGGGCCAAACCTCTACTAGTAGTCAAGAGAAGGGGGACCCCTTTGCTGAAACTTTGCTACCCAAAAGCAAGTTCCTGATCCGCAAGGGGCCCCCTTGGTAGCTGCAAAAACTGTGTCAAAACTGTCAGTGGTGACAAAAAGGCAGGAGGTGGTGCATTTCCTACTTAATCGCTTGACCCAAAAAAAAAGGGTGTGGGGGCCCGACAAGTTGAGCCCCAAAATTTTGAGAAGTGTGAACCCGCTAGCAGCACCCCTAACCGATCTTTCACACTGCCCAGTACAGTGTAAATGGCCCCCTTTTTATGGAAAGAGGCGAAAAGTAGTCCCCCCCTGTTCACAAAAAGAAGAGCAGAGCAGAAAAACAGCAATAAACCAGTGCACTCCTGTCAATCATGGTAAGATCCTTGAGAAATAATTCAAAGACAATGACAGAGTTTTTTTGCTACCACCATACTTTTTTGATCGTCAATATGGGTTCGGGAAAAGGTTACTTGCTGCTGATCGTTGTTAAACCTCTCCCTAAGTGGACCAGTCACTGGATGAAACCAAAGTCAGCTGTGTGGTAGCACGGCATTGCTGGCGCTTTCGCCGCGTTTTGGAAAACCCGGGGCCCTTACAAAACTTCAAGCACTGGGAATTTAGGCTTACCTATGTCTCCTGTGCTGCCTTCATGGGGATTCTAAAATGTATTTCAAGGAACAGAATCAGCAGACATCCTTTGGGGCAAGTGTTCCACAAGGGCGTGCTGGGTCCATTGTTATGGTGTCTACTTTAAACCCTTCTTCATTCATCCCAGAATCACATGCATATGCGAGACTGTAACTGACATCCCCTTATCAAGAGAAGAAATGCCGTGCTCTAAGCTACATC